CTCATTTTGTATATCGCTCATGTATATGAATTACGTATTTAATTGGTGTTCTATTAATAAAACTATACTTTTGTGAATATTTTAAATTTTAATATTAATATAATTTAAATTGCTCCCACTGGAGAATATGTCTGGCTCTGCCCCTGGCTGGATGGCAAATACTATCAGGTAAATTTTGTTAATTTAGTTAATTTCAATTTGTAATGAGAATTTTTCTGTATTTCGTTTTTGTACTGATTTTTGCTTGCTACTGTTTGTATAATGTGGATTTTTGAATCTGGGTTTAAATGAATGTGAAATTTATAGTGTGGGTTGTGTTACTTATAGTAAGTATTTGTAAGAATTTTTTTTTTCATCCCACCCCCAAAGTAAACCTGGTTATGGACCATCACCCACTAATGTCAGTTAAACTTGGTTGTTGTTAGGGGGAGTAGAACACAGGAAGATTGAGTTTATGGTTCATCCAGGCTATCCCTTCACCCCTATGCTATGCTATGATTGCAGATTGTATTTGTATAATTTATTTGAGACTGTTTATGTTTTCTCTGATATGGTGGTGCTTTGTAATCTGTCAGGAAGGAGGAAAAAAATTGAAAGAAAGAACCCAATGGGTAGACAAGATGGCCAGGCGTCCTCTTTAAAATGCTAGAGGTCTTAAGTTTGAATTTGAATCGATTTGGGTATGTCCTCACAGACATTGGTATGGGCCTGCTAGAGGTCTCGAGTTTGAATTTGAATCTATTTGGGTATGTCCTCACAGACATTGGTGAATGGCTCTAGTGCGTTGGATAAAGTATCTGGAGGAGTAGCCGGGGATGGTGCTAGACGTCTGGACACCTTTGTCATAGGAAACTAGAAAACAAAAAGGAAATTGAAGAAAAGAAAAGGGAGTAGCTTTAACGTAAACTTGTAGAAGTAAATGTAAGGCGGAGGATGGATATTCTTTAGGCGTTGAAGAAATATTTACATTCCATTTTTACCAATTTCTTTTTTGGTTTTCTCTATTAGCAATAAAATTCATGAGGACGTGAAATGTATGCGCCCAAGTGTCCACCTTTATCGGCCATGTTTCCATTTTTTGTTTCAGAGTTTACCATTCTTCATAGATTCTTGCATTTTTTTTATTGCACCTTTTTTAGGGTCTCGCTCCGTGAGTTCAAAGGATACACTCGTGTCATACGGCTGCGTCCCGAATTGGATAAATTTGAGTACCTTTTTGAGAAGATGTTAAAAATTTTAAGGGCTTGGTTTCCTCGTAGTTGCTGACCAATTTGTAAGCTACAAGTAGTTACTTTTGCTCGGATAAAATCACTTTGCCCTGTTGTTTATATTTTTTGAACTGNAGTTGCTGACCAATTTGTAAGCTACAAGTAGTTACTTTTGCTCGGATAAAATCACTTTGCCCTGTTGTTTATATTTTTTGAACTGAATTTATAACCTCTTTGTAGTGATTTGTATGTAGGCTATCGAGGGGAATAAAGCCCTTCTCGTGCCCTCGTAGGATTCGTTTGTTTAGCCGTATAATGATAAAAAATACAAGAAATAATTTTTTTTAAAAATTTTTACGTGTTTAATTAGCATGAAAAGGAAAATAATGAAAAAATAATTTTCTTTCATGTTTGAATTTTCTCACAAATAAACAACTTTTTTTTCTTGTAAAAAACACAAAGTAATGCAAGAAAGTTATGATCTATAACTAATTTCATATTTTGTTCTTATTTTTCTTAATATATTTTATTGGCTATTAATTTTAAAAATTTTGGTATAAATTTGATTAATCAGATAATTTAGCCTAAAGACCTTTATATTGATGATTGTCTTAAAATTAAGTTTCAAGCCATTTTTAAAAAAAAAATTAACTTTCAATTATAATTACATATTTTTTTTAGACTAATTTAATATAATTAAGGGTAATTTAGATAATTATAAAAAATTTATTATAACTTTTATTTCTTTCAAATAATAGAAGAAAATTTTTTTAAATTTTTTCGATAAATTTTTCATTCTAACCAAATACATGTATAAAAATATATGTTCTATCATTATTTTTTTTTCACTTCACTTTCTTTCAATTTTTTTTTTCTTGATCAAACGGACCCATAAAGTCCTTCTTGTGCCCATTACTATTTCCAAGGAAAGGAAATGATGAAACTGCCAATTATCTCCTTCTCTCTCCATTTTTGCCCCTAATCCCATGTTCTCTCTCCATTGACCATGATCCTTTTCTAGAATGGAGTCAGTTTTATACCAACTTTTGTTGCAATGCTTTGAAAATTATGAATTGAGGACAATCCATGTTTTCATTTTGACTAATGCTAATCTCATTTAATAACAAGAAGAAAAGTTGAGAGTTAACACAAAAAGGGTAAATTACATTGACTCCCCTTATTTTTTCATGGCAACCCCATGATCTTTCAGAAATGACATGATGTGGATAAAATGCCCTAAATATATTTCTGTGGATCTTTAGGCAAGTGGACTTACTTCCGGGATCATCATGTTCTGTATGAAGACAGTAAGGCCTTAGTGTAATAATTTTTTATTTTTTTTTTTTTTATAGTTGATCCAAAAAAGAAACACAAAGGGAGTCTAATCGATGGCAGTATGATTCTCCATTCTTCCTTCTTTCGAGAAGGTATCTATGCTGTGTTGGAAGAGACAGGACAGGAGTTAGTTGGAACTTTCTCTCTGTCAAATTAGTTTGAGCTTTGCTGAAACTCATCTGATTACTCTATTATAGTTCTATATCTTTATCATCTGTTTTTAGTAGAAGGTTCAACCTTTTTTTGTAGAATAAATTGTCCTTTATGTGGATCTGAATGGGGCCGAGGGTTATGAATAAAACTAAATATAAAAGAAATAGTTTTGACAGACTTAGGGATGTGCATTACTGTGAGTACAGTCCATAAGAAGCATTTGCATGAGATTAGACAAGAAAGGAAGTACCATGAGCACACTCCATAAGAATAGCTCTAAAAACTCGGACTCTGAGAAATACCCTCCCCATTGTGGTGGTAATCAAATCTCCAATCGAGTGTTTCTGAAATTTTGTGATTTTTATGCTATTCTGATGCTTTTAAGTCTGTTTCCTTTTCGACAAAGGCCAAGGAAAGTTTGTTTTACTTTTGCTCGAGTAACGACATATTTCATGTTATACTGGGCGAAGTGATGCAGATGACAATGATAACACCACCCAATTTCAACCATGAGTTGCTTTACCTGAACAAGGAAGACCGATTACTGCGCTGGCTTTTGGTAAAACACAGAGACATCAAATATGGTTTGGAGTTTTTCAAAGATGATGGTAAAGGTGAGCTGAGCAAGTTTCAAAGCAACTTATGTGAATATGAGGACGATGATGAATACGAATGTTAAGACTGAAGAGTGATGCATTTTGCTGCCACGTTAGTTTACTTGGATGTTCACTTTGGCACTTAAAATTTCCCCAGGCTTAGGATCTTTTTTTACAAGTATTCTTGTGTTATGGTAAATTTGATCATTGATTCATTAAATTTATGAATCTTGGGTTTTCTATTATTGAACCATTGTCTAGCATTGAATAGTGTATTAATTAAGTTGTCTAACATTAGAGAGGGCGTGTAGAGAAAAAGATGTTTTTGAATGAGTTTTTTTTTTGGTGAATTGTATACCATTGGATCGAAGTAGATAAAATTTAGAACAATATTTACTATTGTTATGTTTTTATAAATTGAGAATTTTAGTTGTAATATTAGATAGATATTTCAGTTTGGATCAAATATTTATTCCTAAAATATAGTAAAACAAATTTATATTCTAATAATCTCTCGAAAATTTAATCCATATCTGAATAAACAAATTTAAATTTGGATCAAAATTCAATTGATTGACATACTTATTTAGGTTAATTGACCACAATTGATGAGTGATAAGGGTATTTCAAAATCACAAAGAGGTGTTTCTATATTTATTAGAAACTTTAACGGATGTCGGCGTAATTTCTCAAAAAATTAAAAAAGGAAAAAGATCAAACCATTTGTCCACACTCCACACCCATTTCCCGCCAAATCCTTCCCGCCAAATCACCACCACATAGATAGAGGGAGCGAGGAGAGAGAGAGAGAGACTCCCCCTACTCAGAACCCCTTTGAGAGAGAGAGAGAGAGATGTCTGGTTGGGATGAAGGAGAAATCTTCTACAGTGACCAAGCTCAGTTCCCCCACGGCGGAGGCGGCGGCGGCGGAGGCCCGGAACAGGGGGTGAGTCGGCACACGATTCTCCGGAAGTTCAAAGAGTTCATTAGAAATTTCGAAAGCAAAAATGTGTTCCCGTACAGAGAAGCTTTGCTTCAAAACCCTAAATACCTCCTCGTCAACCTCGCAGACCTCCTCAAGTACGACAAAGATCAAGAAGATCTCGGCAAACTGCTCCGGGAGAACCCCGCCGATTACCTGCCCCTGGTAAATTGCTATATAATCGCTTGCATTTATAGGCGTGTATATCCTCAAACAACCAAATCCTGAGTGGATGTTTGTATATATTTGTGATTCTGAGATCATTTATGGGATTTTTCGTTTTACATAAATCATGGGTTATTTTACATGATTGATCGGATATAGAATCTTGTATGTTATTGGTATTAGGGTTTTCAGAAATTTTGGTTAGTGTCTCAAATATGTGTATTGATGGGATTTTTTTATATCCTTATCTGAGATGTATATATTATGGTCTGCAGTCAATACTGGGATGAAAAATATTTTCTTTGGGATTTTATTAATGTTTGTATAATGTGTATATAGCATGGAGTAGACATGATTCTGGTGATGGTTATATATGTTTATATCATAAAATACATGTATATCATAAAATAAAGCTATAGCCTATACCTATGGCATTGGTTACTTTAATGTTACACGATGTAGAATGAGGATTGAGATTTTTTTCTGTGTTTTATGTTAGTTTGAAACTGCGGCGACTGAAGTTCTTGCAAGTTTGAGATCAAGAGTTATTGGAGATACAGGTGAACTGGAGGAGCCAGAGACCGGGGAGGTGCAGATTTTGTTGAAGTCAGAACAAGATTCATTGTCAATGCGATTGCTTGGGGTTAGTTTGTTAAAACTGAAAGTTTCTTTTGCTTTTTTTTTGGATCTAAACTTTGTTGGTTTTATAGGTATTTAGCTTTTCCTGGTTAATTGTAGGCACATTACATATCAAAATTGGTTAAGATATCTGGGATTACTATTGCTGCATCAAGAACTAAGGCAAAGGCAACTTATGTGACATTGTTGTGTAAGAATTGTAAGAATGTGAAGCTTGTTCCATGCCGTCCTGGGCTTGGAGGGGCGGTTGTGCCACGTTCCTGTGATCACATGCCCCAGGTTTATCTCAAATCCATTATTTTAAATTCTTGTGGTTTGGTTTTATTCATTGAACGTAGTGCAAATGATTGGAAAATTTGTAGCCTGGGGAGGAACCATGTCCTATTGATCCATGGATTGTCGTACCGGATAAAAGCAAGTATGTCGACCAGCAGACCCTCAAGTTGCAGGAGAATCCTGAGGTAAGAGTTTTTGACACACGAAAAGAAGTTTGATGTTAAGTTGCTATCTTTTTTGTTGCTGTAGATTTTTGTTATCTTCATTTGTTAATCTCATGTTTCTTAATTGGAAATGGAAGGATGTCCCTACTGGGGAGCTACCTAGAAACATGCTTTTATCCATTGATCGTCATCTAGTGCAAACAATTGTACCTGGCACAAGATTGACCATAATGGGGATCTACAGTATATTTCAAGCTGCGAATTCATCCACATCGTAAGAGTTAACTTAATGCATCTGTTGACTAGCACCTTAGTTAATTAATATCCAGAACTATTATTGGATATTTGAACTTAATGTTTATTTTCAACTTGGGTTCTTATGCAGTCACAAAGGTGCAGTTGCAGTTAGACAGCCTTATGTTAGAGTTGTTGGAATAGAGGAGACTAATGAGGCTAATTCTAGGGGTCCTGCCAACTTCACCGTAGATGAGGTAAATTTTCAAGTTTTCCAGAAATCAGTAATGCCGGTTACCAAGAATTCATTCTCATGCAATGGAATCTGTGAGGTTTTTTTTTTTCCGAACAGGTTGTGTCTTTGGGGTGGAGATTTCAATTTACGTTTGAATTTCAAATGTTTATAAATAAGTGAAAAATTTATTTTAGCAACGTGGTCTTTCTTATGTGCTCAACAGTGTCAGATAAGAAGATTATGAATTCAAGCAGAATTCTGATTTAGGGTGGATCATTTGGGGAAGAAATAATCTGTTTCGACTTTTGTTGGTTTATCAATTGTACTAGCAATAATGAGGTTTTTTTCTTGTTGTAAACCCTTGGTGGCTGGTTTATCCATTCAGTTATGTTCCATTTAATAATTATTGTACAAATTAAAGGTTTTCTTCTTTTCTGTATGTTGTTCTTTAACAGAATTTTGCTAATATGCAGATAGAAGAATTCAAAAAGTTTGCATCAGATAATAATGCCTATGAAAACATATGCTCCAAGATTGCTCCCTCTATATTTGGCCACGATGATGTGAAGAAGGCTGTGGCTTGTCTTTTATTTGGCGGATCGAGGAAGGTATGCCGTAAGGTGTCTTGTAGCGTTGATATATATTAACTTTTGTCATAATACTTTCTCTGCTATTACAGATTTTGCCCGATGGTGTGAAATTAAGAGGTGACATTAATGTATTGCTCTTGGGGGACCCCTCTACTGCTAAATCACAGGTGATCTTTTTTTTTTTATAGTTTGGTTGTGATTTATGACCCATGAAGTCGTATGTTCAGCTGCTTGCTGCACTCTTTTATGCCACTGTTTTAATCGAAGAATTCTTTAACTTTGCTTCAAGCTGTTTCATATAGGCTTGGTGAGAGAACGAAACTTACCTAGGACTCAAGAAAGTCTGTGCTCTTGCTTTGATTACTATGATGATTAATTATTCCTCACATTATTTTGGTTGTAATTTTACTAGTTCCTCAAGTTCGTCGAGAAGACAGCTCCCGTAGCAGTATATACTTCTGGGAAAGGCTCATCAGCCGCTGGTCTTACAGCTTCTGTGATTCGAGATAATAGCTCAGTAAGTTTGTCTATTTGTCTGAAGTGTTTAACAGATGGTGTTTGTATCTCTATTTTCGCGTTGCTTTGGAGGTCTGTCTGATGAAATGTGATTCCATTTATTGCGATAAAAAATTTTGTGCCTATAAATTAATCCTTTATGCAATTCAGCGGGAGTTTTATCTAGAAGGAGGAGCCATGGTTTTGGCTGATGGAGGTGTCGTCTGCATAGATGAATTTGACAAAATGAGGGCAGAAGACAGGTAACCTGAACTAGAATTAGATTTTGATGGCCCTCTATCTTCGTCTGTTTTGTTACTGGAGTTCTCAAGAGTTTACACGTGGCCCAGAGTTGCAATTCATGAAGCCATGGAGCAGCAAACCATTTCCATTGCCAAAGCTGGAATAACAACTGTTCTCAATTCTAGAACCTCTGTGCTAGCAGCAGCTAACCCTCCATCAGGACGTTACGATGATCTCAAGGTCCATAACTCTTTTTGCTTATCCCTTTTATGTTTCCGAGCTTGTGGACTATAATTCATTCATGAGATATTGTAACTGAGCAACTAACAAAATACTTACTTTGCAGACTGCTCAGGATAACATTGATTTGCAGACGACAATTCTATCGAGATTTGATCTAATTTTCATTGTGAAAGATGTCAGGATGTACAGTCAAGACAAGGTACATAAGTTTTTATCATTTTCAGTTGGTGTTTTCCCTAAGGTGTCATTTGGACTCTGCAAGGAAATGAAAGAAAAAAATGATTATAATGACTCTACTTGATCCACTATAAATGCATTATCTGCTGCATAAATAAGTCATGAGTAGCTATTGCATTCTCTGCCTGAAGCATCTTTATTCTGGGAGTACTAGAAATAATAAAGGTATTAGCAAAAGAATAGTCAACTAACTAGATTTTTGTGTTGTGGGGATTCTAAATAAGTTGTCATACATTTTAGCGGAAGGGCTCATTCAACTAAATTCATGGAAAGTAGAATAATTTTTCATCGTAGGGTTTCCAAATGGCCCTAAATGTGCAGCAACTTAATGAGATGTATTCCCTTCACAGAATATTGCCAGTCATATCATCAAACTTCATGCATCTGCTCATGCAGCCAATGGTGAAACTAGAACCTATATAGAAGATAACTGGCTGAAAAGGTTTCTCTCTCTCTCTCTTCTCCCACCCGCCAGTGAAATTCTGTAATGTTATATTCTGTGCATGGCTGCATTTGCCAATTATCAGTTGGATGCTGAATTGTTGAGTTGCATGTGTGCAGGTATATACATTACTGTCGAACTGTATGTCACCCCCGTCTATCAGATTCTGCTGCCACCATGCTGCAGGAGAGCTATGTCAAAATTAGACAGGTATTTTTGGACTGGCTCATATTACTGAGAAATATCAGATACCTCCTCTAGTTTGAATCTATATAGCATACATGATTTATTCAATGTCATAAATTTTTTAGTCCTTTTCAGAATGGGTTGACATAGCTATAGAAAACTGGGGGAGACAGGAGCACCAAAGTTGAGAGTGACTAGGGACTATAATACGACGAAAAATACATATGATGCTCGTTATTACTATTTTGTCAACCCTTTTTTAGTGACTTCAAGAAGCATTATCTAAATAAGTATCAATTAATAAAAATCTATACTTTCAAATCAACTATAAAGTCTGTAATGGACTAATATGTCCCATAGATGTGTAAACATCTTGATGTAACATAAAGCACGTTAAGGTTTACCATGTTTCAAGAGCTCTGCTATTTTTTGAAATAGCTTGAGATATTCAATACCACTCTACTCCAGGTGTTTTTCCTTCTAAACTTATCTAATGGGTATTCTGCTACTTAGTTTGGCTTCATTACTGCTGCCTTGTAGCGCAAATGGCATTCATTTGGAGTTCCTATATAGGGGTTCCAAGTGGTTTATATCTACTTTATGTGATGGTGTCGTTATCACTCAGCAAAACAGAAATTGACTCATTTTTGGTTAATCTGAATAAGGTGAAGAATTACTCAGGAAACCAAACTGGATTTTGCTTTTGGTTTACAATGTTTAAGATGGCCATTGTTGGAGTTTGTACGAATTTATTATCTATTCTGCTAATCGAAAGTCATTCATTTTATGCTGGTCATTTGATAGGACATGAGACGGCAGGCAAATGAAACTGGGGAGGCTGCTGCAATACCGATCACCGTGAGGCAGCTGGAAGCTGTAGTGAGGTTGAGTGAGGCACTTGCAAAAATGAGACTGTAAGTTAGTGGACAAGGTTTATCTTCATTGAACGTTGATGCTTTCTGTTTCCATTTCGCTTTTTGGAGGCCATATATAGGTTCTATCCTTATTCTGTGAAGGCTAGTAGAATTCTGATTATAAGAGTCTGAGTGATCAAAGCTCTGTCAAGATAACATTCGAAATGTGCAAGGTAGTTAATTTCACAATTATGTGGCTCCCACTTGGCAGCCAGGTTAAAAATTAACAAAATTAAGTATCATGGTGAGCAAAATCAAATGTAAGAATCACTTTTAATGCTTCTGATGGCCTATTTGAGTATGCTAACTTTCGACATTAGCGTTGATTCTTGCAATAGCTAACCAGAAATATCCAAATTTAGGCTATTTACTTTACCACATTAGCTAACTGTGAAGGCAAGAAGGTTCAAGATGTACTGTTCTGATTAAGAATGCATGCCCCCCAGAAGAATTAGGTATTAAATCATGTCTGGAGTTATCCACCAAATTAGCCCTAAGGCGTTGGTTGGATGGCATGTGTTCCAGCTTGATAGGTTATAGTTACAGGATCAAGCCTTGTCAATCCTTTGAGCCATCCCCAGGATTTACGTCGGTACCATCATGTAGGGGCGTCAATTGTGTCGTGTTTGTGTGACCCACATGTCGTTTTATTTGTGTTGTGTTCGTGTCATTGTTATTTGTGTTGTGTTCGTGTCAAGACATACGAAAAAAAGTCTATTTAGTATGTTTTAAGTATTAAATATTAGTCTAAATTACTTATTATTATGCATTTCAATTTTACAATCGTTCGTGTTAAATTCGTGTCAATGGGTCAGAGTTGACACCCCTGATGGTGGATGTAGAGGAATGCCGTGAATCCACAAGATTCATATGACTAGAACTGGTTTCTGTAAATCACACGCATCTTCTTTAATTTCTTGTTGTGCATAGTTTTGAAGTAATAGAAGATTAGCCGTATATTAACTTTTGTGCACCGAGTTTAGGTCCCATACTGCGAATGATAACCATGTTTTGGAAGCTATAAGGCTCTTCAACAATTCTACAATGGATGCAGCACGCTCTGGTATAAATCAACATATCAATCTTACTCCTGAGATGGCGAATGAGATTAAGGTTTGATTCTGATAACTAGAATTCCAGACCTCGTTTATTTTTTGTTGTATTATACCACGTCATTGTAGCTTTAAGTTATGCTCTTGCCATGAATACAGCACGCAGAAACCCAAATAAAAAGAAGAATGGGAATCGGAAGCCACATATCAGAGAGACGGTTGATTGATGAACTTGCCAGAATGGGCATGAATGATTCTATTGTAAGAATCCACTTTTCAAATGTCCCTCTCTCTCTCTCACACATAAACACACACAAATCCTTATGCTTCAACTAGGGGTGGTAATTTAAGGATGTAAATTGAGTCAAGTTTGCTAAGCTCCAGTATGCTTAATGTGGACTTAATGCTGACTAGTTAAGCCGAGCTCAACTTATGAGTTTAGATCTTGGCATCTTGCTTAAACTCCACTTGGGCAAAAGTTTGCAAGCATTCAAGTTGAAATTGAACTTAGTTTCCCACCAAAAATTTCTAAAAATTAAATCCTAGAGCTTAATATTAAATCTTAAAATAACTATTTCTTGTGATAAAAATTCTTTAAGAGTTCGTATTTCTCATAAACTCTCTTGGAGGATGTGGAGAGAAGTGTAGATGGCATGGAGCTCTTCACTGATAATGTTTGAAATTATTCATTTTCAAGAAAGTTCTCTTTCCAATATTTCTATCATTCTGTATCTAACCAAACGGACCCAAGGGATTGTTGCTGCTGTACATAAACACTACGGCAAAGGAGCATGGCCCTAGAAAAATGGTGTATTTATAATTGCTGCAGCCTCTTAATTGATTTAATTGTCACATTTGACAGGTTAGAAGAGCTCTGTTAATTATGCATCAGAGAGATGAAGTTGAATACAAAAGAGAAAGGCGAATCATTGTTCGGAAAGCTTAACCGCTCAACAATCATCAGCAAGTCGACATTGCAGTTCATGCATTCTTAGTAAAAACTGATCACAGAATGCCATTCTTAATCCCATGGATACTGGTGGAGGTAATGAGATCTGCTATTCTGTCCAAAGCGTACATTCGCAAATTGCAGCCATCAGACAAAGCCACATTACCTTCTAGGTTTTTCTTCCANTGCAAGCATTCAAGTTGAAATTGAACTTAGTTTCCCACCAAAAATTTCTAAAAATTAAATCCTAGAGCTTAATATTAAATCTTAAAATAACTATTTCTTGTGATAAAAATTCTTTAAGAGTTCGTATTTCTCATAAACTCTCTTGGAGGATGTGGAGAGAAGTGTAGATGGCATGGAGCTCTTCACTGATAATGTTTGAAATTATTCATTTTCAAGAAAATTCTCTTTCCAATATTTCTATCATTCTGTATCTAACCAAACGGACCCAAGGGATTGTTGCTGCTGTACATAAACACTACGGCAAAGGAGCATGGCCCTAGAAAAATGGTGTATTTATAATTGCTGCAGCCTCTTAATTGATTTAATTGTCACATTTGACAGGTTAGAAGAGCTCTGTTAATTATGCATCAGAGAGATGAAGTTGAATACAAAAGAGAAAGGCGAATCATTGTTCGGAAAGCTTAACCGCTCAACAATCATCAGCAAGTCGACATTGCAGTTCATGCATTCTTAGTAAAAACTGATCACAGAATGCCATTCTTAATCCCATGGATACTGGTGGAGGTAATGAGATCTGCTATTCTGTCCAAAGCGTACATTCGCAAATTGCAGCCATCAGACAAAGCCACATTACCTTCTAGGTTTTTCTTCCATCCTTGTATTGTGAACCAAGAAAATCTATGATCTCATGACGATAAATTACAATTCAATACGATTAAAGTTATTGTCAAACTTGGTTTAAAAACCCAAGATCAATCTTGATCTCGGTCTGTTTGAAGCATAAGATTGGGTTGTAATTTTAGTACTTTTTTGGGTGCTGTTTAGGGATCCCAAAAACTATTGACGATAAGGTGGATTGGACATTTTTACCATGGAAACTGGATAATGGAATGCCAGAACAACTAATTCAAGTTTCAACTTCTTGTACGTACTAAGTTCATTTCCAAACCATGGCTCAACCTAACGCAGGGAAACACTATCAAATTTCTCAACCCTTGGTCAGTTAAGTATGTTAAAGTCCTGACGTACTGTTCTTACATAAAGTTTAAATTCTAGCACTTCAATTTATCTTCATCCAAAGCACTATCATGAGCTCAGGTTGGCAGAGGCTCTTGGCTTTCATTAAGTTATGCTGTTACGTAAGTCATGGGACAAATTTTCATGCAAATTAAGGCAAAGATGTTTAGACACCTCTTTCAGTGCATATGTATTTTATATAGTTGAGTATCGATTGAAACAATTCTTGGTGATAAATTGGTTTTGTTGATAAATCAAAGCATAACACAGCGTAATACCTATTATTGTATTTGATTAGGTGTTAAACATGGGATAATGGCGATAAATTTTTCATGTTAATTTTGTATTTGATTATGGAAGTTATGGTAATGGGAATGCCAATAATGTATGGCAAGTTACTAGACAAGGCCCGCAGGTTTCAGAGCAAACATACGTATGCAGCTCCCATATGCAACTTTCAAACTAAGCATTTCAGTATCATTTTCCACTGTTCACCACCACTAATTCTAGGACATCTCTTTTTTTAGCCACGAGTCTCGCCCATACAATAGCTGAGGGTGACTCAAATGAGTGTTCATACCATTAACCCGTAACAAATTTGGCCACACTCAATGGATCTCAACAAGATGATCAATCCCTGCCTGCTCAAAAACACTTATACCGATAAAGAAGGGGAATTAGAAACATACACCAATATTCATCGGGTGTCTCTTTTCATGGATGATATATGTGAACAAGTTACACGTTGTCACACAGGTGACAGTACACACATAACCCACCAATGTATGCCACCACTTCTCACTATTTAATTCCTATTAAACTATACAAGACTGAAAACCTACAACCCAATACAAATCAGCAAACACAAAAGAGATGTTTGTTTTGAGTATTAGATTTAGGTGGTATTAGAAATCATTTTCATTCTATTCTTATCCAATGGTATATTATACCCGATCTTAAACTATAATCTCACCCTTCCTCTTGTTTGTTTGTCACAAATATTATTTGTGTAATACCTACTTAATAAAGTCAACAATTGCAAATATGGGTGATAAAAAGACAATTATAACTTTGTAACCTTAAAAAGATAATTATACATGAGGACATTTGTGTCATTTTAGTTTCTTATACCGTCTTTTTATTTGTACCGGGAAGATGATACCACTTAGTAGATGATATTCAATAACACCGTATATAAGACATTTAAGTCACTGTTCATGCGGGGTCGGTGTTACGACCTAAAAAATAGTACCAATGATAAAATACCAAACAAACAAGGTATAAGGTGAACCCTAGATACTATTTCTCTAATACCACCCATTTGTACCACTCTAATACTTCAAACAAACAGCCCCAAAAACGACAGAATGAGAGAAATCTATCCCAATAGCCACCTGAATTCTATCTCAACAAAAAAAAAAAAAAAAAAACTAGGGGCAACTAATGCATATAGCACTCAACATGAAGCAAGCCGACTGCTCCATTTAGCAAAATAATGTCAGATGCTCGGTGCAACGCCAAATTAAGGCACAAATACTTAAAAAATAGACGAGATCACAATAACAGTATACTGCCTTTTGAAACTATTCCATATGGAAAATGTTATGCTTACCAAAAATATTTACCAAATCTTCCATATCAAATGATGTGCCACAATCTCTATCATTGAATATTAATGGAACCCATTTATTTGATGGTAAAAAACTGTGCCATATCATTTGGAATGGAAATTTGGTAAAAAATTTGATAAGTATAACATTAGCCTTTTCATATAGCATAGACATGCATGAAATTTTCCAGCTATAAAACATAGCCAATACATTATCTAAAATAAAATACCACCCCAGGCCTATGTTGGGTGACAGAGCCCCCACCCCAAAAAAAAAAAAACNTTATTTGTACCGGGAAGATGATACCACTTAGTAGATGATATTCAATAACACCGTATATAAGACATTTAAGTCACTGATCATGCGGGGTCGGTGTTACGACCTAAAAAATAGTACCAATGATAAAATACCAAACAAACAAGGTATAAGGTGAACCCTAGATACTATTTCTCTAATACCACCCATTTGTACCACTCTAATACTTCAAACAAACAGCCCCAAAAACGACAGAATGAGAGAAATCTATCCCAATAGCCACCTGAATTCTATCTCAACATACAAAAAAAAAAAAAAAAAAACTAGGGGCAACTAATGCATATAGCACTCAACATGAAGCAAGCCGACTGCTCCATTTAGCAAAATAATGTCAGATGCTCGGTGCAACGCCAAATTAAGGCACAAATACTTAAAAAATAGACGAGATCACAATAACAGTATACTGCCTTTTGAAACTATTCCATATGGAAAATGTTATGCTTACCAAAAATATTTACCAAATCTTCCATATCAAATGATGTGCCACAATCTCTATCATTGAATATTAATGGAACCCATTTATTTGATGGTAAAAAACTGTGCCATATCATTTGGAATGGAAATTTGGTAAAAAATTTGATAAGTATAACATTAGCCTTTTCATATAGCATAGACATGCATGAAATTTTCCAGCTATAAAACATAGCCAAAACAATTTTTTTTGGCTAGATAACTAGCCAATACATTATCTAAAATAAAATACCACCCCAGGCCTATGTTGGGTGACAGAGCCCCCACCCCAAAAAAAAAAAAAAAACTCCCAGTAGAGATATCAAGGGCTAAGGCATCATATGAGACGTGTGAAGTTAAGGATCAACCTTTGTAAGGTAAAAGACTTGCCTTGACACTCTCCTGCTTCTCAGTGATTCCCATCCCGTTCCCAGATTTATCGACATAATCAACAAAGAAAAAGAAATGGACTGAATGACATTCATGAGCCCACTTTTGGCATGTGATGTGCCTATGCCAATACATGCGCAAATACACGTGTACAGAGAGAGAGAGAGAGAGAGAGAGAGAGAGAGAGAATGGATTATCAACCTATAGTTGGATCCAAGCTTTTGCCCCAACTTTCTCTGTTGCAATTGCTTGAGTGCCGGCCTTCATATACTAGAATTAGCACATGCGTATTTCCAAAAAAATTCCTATGCCCACCATTCTGAATCCCCCAAGATTATATTTTCATCCAAACATAGTAATACCAATAGGTCAGTATAATTTTAGTTAGACCAAAGCAACACAAATCAACATCAAGCTAACAATTCACTCAGAATATCCAATTAAATAGATAGCAGGCCTATGGTTTGAATGTCAATTTTAGCACCTACATACTCTTTCAATTGCTTGGGCGTCGGTCATAATATACCAGAATAAGCACAAGCTCGTCTTGACAATATTGTCTTCACTCTACTACCCTACTACGCCAGCCAAACATTCCGAATCCTCCACAGTAATATTTTCATCCACACATAATGACACCAATTAAATTCAGCAAAATTTTAGATAGACCTCAGAAACACAAACTATAAATCAACATCAAGTGCAATACAATCTGAGCAAGATGCCCAGTTAAATGTATAGCAAAACCACATCATAAACCACTGTAAAATCACATTAAGCAAAAAAAAAAATCAAGTCCAAACCATCATTGGAAGCATTAAAATAACAGTAAACTAAGCATCAATCTCTACTAAATAACTCATTAAGCATTCAAAACTTATCAAGTTAACATAAACCATTAAAACCCGCAAATTTCAAGTCTTAAATGGAATCCAAAACAACTGCTTAATGAACCTCAAAACCCTAGCTTCGTACGGCGCCAGTGCCTGCGCTTCGCATTGTACCTGAACATAAAAACGACAGAGCCTTAAGTCAAAAACACTAGCTAAGATTGAGATTACAGATCTAAAAAATAAAATTGTATTTAGTATAAAACCTGATGGTGTTGTCGGTCCTCATGCGAATCCAGTGAGGAATAGGCCTGTTCTGCCTCTGCTTCTTCGCCAGCTTCTTCTTTATCATGAAGGTCTTGTGTGACGGCTATTACATCAAGAAATCAACATCAGAAAAACAACATCAACGTATATATGCGTGTGTATGTGTGAACGGAGAGAGAGAGAGAGAGAGAGAGAGAGAACCATTTTCGAGATCGGAGGAGCTGGGCGCCGAATGGAGCGGAAACGCAAGGGGAAACCCTACCTGTAAAAACCTTAGTTCTCATTCGTGTTGTTATCGTGTGCAATTGGGCTGGGTTGGGCCTACTATTGAAGCCTATTATTGGGTTGATTTAGGCCCACTTAGATTCAAAGTGTTTTTTCACATTCATTTTACTTTCTGGAAGATCAGATAGGGTGTTCGCAATTAATATAGATAATTAAGCTAGGCTCCCTCATTTAGTATGTAAAATAATTTTAATTCTGTCGAATTTTTAATATAGAAAAAAGGTCCTCCAACATTTTAAAAAAATTGTATGCAGCCCTTGGTTGGACACTTGCATTGTGTTTTGATTACCCATATTACCCTAATTACATGATTTCAGCCTATATTAGGTTAATATTCTTTTTATGGGTTTTTTATTGAAGATTTTGTGGTGTTTGTATCAGTTTTGAAATTTTAAATTGTTGAACTAAACAATTTGAAATATACTAGTGGTGTATCCTAAACGTAGATTTGGTAGGTACATAAATTTGATTGTAACAGTTAAGTGGTATATACTTATCTAACAAGTACAATTAATTCTCAAATATAATCACAAAAAATTAATATACAATAAAAAAACACTTGGCAATAAAGCCTAGTTTACATAAAATATATTTCTAATCATGGAATAGTTCAGGTACATAGTATTAGACACAATAAATTGGAGGGAAATTTATATACAGATACATTAGTATAACAGATACATTACAAAAAACAAGACCCAAACAAGATGTCTACACTAGATACGGATTAAATT